AATTCATCCTTGGTGTAACTACTTTTAAAATCAATTTAATTACACTAGGGATGAATTTGGTTCTGTATGTTCAGTTTAAGAGGGGAAAATAATTGCAAAGTGAAAAAAAAAATATCAAGAACTATATTAATCATGAGCCTCCAGAACACCACCTCCTAAAATTGCCCTTGCTTTTCTTCAAATGAACAGATACCCTTTCAAGGTTAGCCAGTTAATCAGACTCCCATACAGATCTGCAATATACAATGTTCCAGAGGCTATTTTTCTAAAGTGCATATTAACATCTGGCCACTCACATAGCTCCTACTGGAAATGTTTTTGGCTCTAATTTAGCTATGGCATATTAATAAAATCTTCCTTTAAAAAGGTGGATGACTAGAAATATCCAAATTCATGACCAAATATGAGCTAATGCTTTCCCCCAAATTGCACAGACATAAGGACAATCTGAAAATATATTTACAGTGCCTATTCCATTTAATTGGACAGTTACCAATTTCTAGCTAGATCTTGTTTGATGTTGTACTCTGTACAGTAAGTCAAAGAGCCCAATTCTACAACCTTTAAAAGAGAGACAGGCCTGCAGAATCAGGACCCAAGTTTTAAGTCTTTAGTAGATTTTACAGTTTTCTTTTTGTGCGTGTTATCACCATTTCATCTATATCATGTCTCAAGTTTCTAGTTCTATCTTCTCTAATTTTAGTCAATGAGCACTTCACACTAGATAGCAGTTACCTTCTGTGCAGTACAAAAGGAAGTTCTGAACTACACAGGAGTTCTGAAGTCTCAAGGTCAACAACAGGACTCTTAAGAATTCTAGATATTCTAGGAGTTGGGGCTTATCTAGATTATCTTTGAAAATTTTGATTTTTAACTACTTGATTTGTATGTGCCAACTATAAATACAACCCTATGTAATGTACAGGGTTTCTTTTAGGATTTGAGGTAGAATCTACCTTCCACAAGAGAGTTGATAGTCCTTCTCAAAGCAAACCAATGAAATAATTTTTTTGCTCAGTTTTATAGACTGAGTTATCCTAGAACATAAATGTTCTGGTATATGGGGACAGTGGAAATGAAATATTTTATAGCTGGCTGGATCTATTTGCATATTGATGGTCCGGGTTTTTCCTTTTTTTAAACTATTGACATGACCTTGTTTCTAAAATACCTATTCTGGTGTCTCATTTTTATTTGCCATCCAATATAGTGGCTGCTTCATAGTAAAAGAAGTAGGAACGTTCCACAGATGTGGAAATCTAAATCCTACCTCTTCAATGATTTTAGATGTGTGTATATATCTTCCTACTGTATTTTCCACTGCATGCATCTGATGAAGTGGGTTTTAGCCCACAAAAGCTTATGCTCAAATACATTTGTTAATCTCTAAGGTGCCACTCGTCGTTCTTTTGACTATACACTGATTTTTCCAGTGGTATGGAGGCAGTGCTGTCTAATGAAAAGAGACTAGAAATGAGGTACTGTGTGTTCTTGAGGAAATCAACACTGCATCTCTCAGTTTGCCTATCTAATACTCAGATGGGCACCATATAAAAGCCTAGATTGACTTGGGAAATAGTGATAATTCTTCCCTACATCACAGAGCTGTTGTATAGCTTAATGCAATAGTGTGTGTAAAGTGATTTGAAATCTTTGGATGAAAAGTGTAAAGTATTGTCATGGCGTTACATTCCTTAGGTCACTTAGGACTATTTTTGACAATCACACCATGACCAAATACCAAACGGCATAGTTCCCATGATGTCCGCTGGTAACAATGCCGTAGAGCTGTATGTGGTACAAGGTCCTTAAAATAAATGTCACCTCTCCATTATTATTTTATACTGCCCAGAGGAGTACTAGGCACTTCACAGAAGGGGGTGGGGGGAAAACACACAAAACAGTCCTTCTTAAAAAAGAGCTTTTGCATGGGACACACTGAGTGGTGGTGAGAAATAATGGGGAAGGGAATGAGTCAGGGAAGGAAAAAGGTCACAGCATTACAATTATGCAGTTGCTCAGTTTGGACATGCTCATCTCAGGGTGACTCAATTCAGGTGTTTTTTAATTTTCATAAAAAGAACATAAAGCTACAGCATTGTGACTATTACTGACTAACTTATTATGAACAGGAAAGAGGTGAGTTTTCAAGAAGGAATTTAAATGTCAAGGGGCTGGTGCCTTGACAGAGCAGAGAAAGGAGGATATTCCATCCACCATGGACAACATGGAAAAAATATACTAGACGGACAACAATTGTGAGTTGATGTTTGTACACAAGTGTTAGCTTAATTCATTAGCTTAATTCAATACCTCAAATGCAACAGAACAGCTGGTGCTGATTCGTGTCAAGAGCATCAGCAAGACTCACATAGTGAGATTTAGAAATGGGACAGAGTACTATTTCACTGGAGCTCAGCAAAAGTCTCAGAAATTTCATTCCAAGACTACATATTGAAAAATGACCTCAGCCTGGCACAGTGCAATGAATTACCATTTAGCAATACAGGAGAAACTCTCAGCACTCACTCACTTGTTGTCTTTCCCACACTGATGACTTAGCTGATGGGCCAATGTCTTAAGCAACAAAGTTAGACACAGATTATTTGGTTGTGCACCCTCCCGCATGTATCAGTTTTACATCAGTGTGTTTCCATTCACTTCAGTGGAGTTACTCCTGACTTCAGTGCAAACAAGAAGGCCAGAATCAGTACTGCAGAGAAAAGGATGCTCAAAAGTTGGAGATCAAGTAACTCATGTAACTCCACTGAAGTCAATAGGTGTAAAATAGGTGT